ACAGTGGCATAATTACAATTAATTATGTCACATCAATACTGGCCACATGTCGACACGTCGACAAACTGGCAAACCCGAAGGTTTAACTGCCGTGCGATTGTGCGGTTAGACTTAACCATAGCCCAATCGTCACAAATAATTCATGAATGCAGCATTTTATGTCTAGATCGACCATGAGTTGTTTCGGACCATCGACTGCATTGGCAACACACGGGATCCCTTGGCAAGCTCTCGGCTGATACCAGTTCTTGTGTCCAATGAACCAGAAGCCTAAGGGCGTAAGAGATGCATATGGTTTGATCTGGACCATACAAAGAAACATCGTATTGGCTCTAGCGCTTATAGTCGAGCAGTATCACGAGGTTCTACATTACGTGCTCGGTGCACACTCTTCAGACGGTTGGAACCAACTTAAGAGTGTTTTTAATCTGCGTGCATACATGCTATTATCTGGTCCCGACATCATGAGAGGATGGAGACCAATCAGCATTGATCTCCATGGCTGACGCCAACCTTGATTGAAGACTCTAGCTGGTGTCCAATCAAATCTCAATCCTATTGTCGTGCTAGACTAAGCGAAAGCGACTGTTCAAGCATTTTCCGGAGCGTAATTGACGGATATCAACCTTGAAAGATAGTGGTACTACGAATAATAACAGGATTCGTAAGCTGGTTACCAGCAAGCTAATAATTTTTGTACTTTGTCTCATGACATGGCAGACTGCTTCATCTGTTGTAGTCAGAACCACCAGGCATCGATGTTAGGAGTTTCCCTCCTGTTTCTGTACGTCAAGTGCGTATGTACAGGATCAACAGATACTTTCTACCTGTCGAAAGGCCGCTGCCATTGCAGAGCACAACGAAACCCACATTGGCAACGCAACTCAACCAGCACGCTGGCCATCCTTACAACCCACTGAACGGCCTAGGTGACAACGGTCAGATCCGCTGCGTCTGCCGTCCACTTGAGATACGGCCAGTCCCCGTCCCAACCTAGTTCGAAGCACCTCAGCCAAGGTGCGGCGCCATCCAAATACGAGTGCACAAACACGACGTCTGGCCGGTCGGGCTGGTCCAATAGCACAGACGCTCCGCCGATGCCCTTCCAGCAACGGCAAGTCTGGTCGTTCTCCAACGGAGTGAACCCGTCCGCCCCGATGCGTACGGCGTCGGCAGCTGGCAGCATCTCGTAACAGCAGCTGCCGTGCCCCGCGCCGGGGGCGGTCGGGAGGCCAGGGAGCTCCGCAAGCTTGAGGAAGACGTCAGCAATTATTTCAGATGATCATCGAAACTTGATATGGAGTGTGCCTTCAGCGGACGACCGTGATCGATCGTTGGGATTCGGCAATGCAACTTGCGATCGGCAACCCTCCGTTGCTTTGTGAAGTTTGGAGATGCGAAATGGTGAAGAAACTTGGCAGCCTCGCAAACGTAATCAGATTCCGCTTTTGAGCCAGTCCGTCCTACACGAAGACACGAAGCAACACAGAAACGTAAGCGAAGTCCGGGCGGTCGAACAGAACAGACTCAAGCTAGCTTTCGCAGGCATCGGGCTCTTACGCACCTCCAAAAAGAAAGGGGTTTACATGAGATCTGGATAACCTGCACTCCTCCCACCGGAGCTATGACCAGTTGAAGTCGCTGAGTGGCGCCTCGAACTGACTTATCCACGCGGGATTGAACAAAGAAGACAGCCAATCCAAAGTAAGGTAGAAGGGCTCCTTCGGTTGAATCATAGAAGGGCGTTCAACGTCGCTCCCAAGGAACCAGCCAAACTGGACTCTACTGATCCCGATACTCAAAAAGTAAAGCACTCGCTGATCGGCTTTTTGAGTTTTTGTAAAGGAAAGGCTAGATGGCTCACATCTGGGAGCCTCCTCGCCACGAGGGGCCAGTGTCCCCCATCCACCATGCTCGTGCCGTTCCGATCAACGTAGGGGCCCAGAGGCCCCGTAGTTGAGCGCCCAACCTGGGAGACAACCATCGCTGTCAGCTCGAAAACGCTTCGTAGTGCCACTGTTCTTGCAAGAGTCTAGGACAGGGGTCGATGTGAGACGTCGAGACAAGTCAGTGTTATTCGTAAGTCTTTTCTTCGTCAGCGTCATGACCCAGAAGCCGAGATCTAAGCATGGGGTTGTAAGAGAAAGACCACGACAGTGCACCTCGTCTGCCGTGATCCGACCAGGGTCATCATGACGGATCCCGCTTTACTCTGCGTTAAGCACCTGGGATGGACAAGCCAAAGCTTATAAGAGCAACTGTGGCGAGAGGTGGGGTCAAGTTCAGAGTCTGCTTCAGGCGCCGGTCAGAGTCAACAACAGCTGGCCATGTAAGGTGACCCTTAATAGCACGCCAGCTAGATTCAGCGAATGCTGCTCACTGCAACACGGTACGGCTTCTCGTGGAAGTTGACGGCGCCGTCTGCCGGGCAGCAGTAGTCGTATGCGACAAAGACGTAGTACGAGTCGTTGGCGCGCCGGTATGCCAGCGTAGCGCCCTCGATGGGGTTGCTCTTCACCCCCGGCCGCGCCCCAATGTGCACGGGGCGCGCGTTGGGGTCCAGCAGGTGACCCGTCTGGGGGTTGAGCTCCTGCATTCGAGAGGACGCAAATATTGCCTTCAGGTCTTTCGTTTCAGGTGTTCTACGGTTCTGTGAACAGGGTGGATAAGCGTCCCCAGTCAACCTCCTAATCAAACAAAGAATTGAGTGGCGCAGGCCCACTAACGTAGGGGTTCGAGATTGCAAAAAAAACTCTGGGTTTTTTGAAATTTCGAGAGACAATGTGCCCAACACCTCACTAAACGGTGGGTTGCTCCCACTGTTGATGCAGGTCAACGAGTGCTGATAAGGAAACAGCTTTGTTGACATCATCAGTCTCAAGTTCCAACCCCACTGCATGATTTACAACGTACCTGCATGAAGATGCCGTCCCAGAAGCTGCCCCACGACATCCACAGCCGCCCCTGCAAATATACACAAAAACAAGATGAAGCGACACCTGTGTTTCGAGTCTTGCTGACCGCCAGCCAAATGTCTGCTCATGCAATAACTCGTTGAAACCAACGGACAATGAGGAGTCTCAAGCACTGGTTAGCCACCAGATACTAAATGTTCCGTTGATCTCGACTCGCAAAAGGCGATTTGTACTTATCGGTGTCAACACGAAGGAGACAGGTGAGGTCGGCGGCTCCGACAGGCGGCCCCCAGTAACTGTACATGATAATCAGCAATCAGAGGCCGAGACAGATACTAAACTTCGAAGTTGCCCTCTCTGTCGGGGCATTTTCAGAAGCGTACCTGGGGGTCGTTGAGGATCGCGGCATCGATCGCGTTGAAGTTGGCGAGGCGGCTCGGGGACTGGATCACGAGACCCTCGTCCTGCCAGGCGATGGGGCGGTCGTCCAGCGACAGAGTGGACACGAGCCCGATCGCCGAGTTGTTCGTGCCGAAACTGCAATGACGGGGGCACAGGAGAGCCGAGGCTTAACAGGGAATAAATACACAGTCGGTGCATTGACGCCAAAGCTGCAGGACAAAATCACATGTAGACTGTTGGGAGAGACTGGAAGGACTGCGGGGATCCGAGATTGACCTCTCTATGGGCTGGTGGGGGGGTTTTGGCCTATCAGTTGTCGAGCAATTCAGCCCATGAAGGCCAAGGACATACAAGAGGCGGGCAAGGTTCGTTGCGAAGGCTCTGTAGAGTGATGTTAAACATAATTCACAGAACATGCAGCTGTTTCAATTGATTTTGCCCAGTGGATGTCACCTGACCTTTAAAAGTTGCAACAAAGAGGTGCTGATCAAACCGGAGAGTATCGACGCAACAGTCACCAGATGCCTGGGATTCGATAAATTGATGACACAGTTTGACTCAAGGCAAGAGCAGGCCACAGTGTTGACGTCCTTACTTGGAGTAGGCGTAGTAGAGCCAGTACCTGAGGAGAGCACCGGCGAGGGCAGGTCAGCAAGCGAGAATTGTCTTTCAATCGTCAGCACGACGTTGATCATCAACAGGGCCTGCCAGAGATCTGGGAAGAGTGTAGTTGGACACTAAGAATCATCCAACAAACGAGGTCGTCTCCAAAAGCGCAGATGCCAATGGGCCTCATCACACAAACGTGTTCGTATTCATTCATAGATTGTGCAGAGACGCACCAATGTGTCTTTTTTCCCTCCAACTTCGTCGAGGGCTCCGATTGAGAATGAAAAATTGCTGGCCTAACTTCCAGTAGCCATGTATAAATCCGCCCATGGAAGGGGAGGGAATCACTTTCGGAACGCGATTGAGCATGAAAAATTGCTGGCCTAACTTCCAGTAGCCATGTATAAATCCGCCCATGGAAGGGGAGGGAATCACCTTCGGAACGTTCCAATCTAATTCGACTCTCCATGCAGAAGGCCCAGTGTGTGAATTTTACCCCCTCAACAGTGAGCTCGCGGCCGCACTCACTTGCCACTGAAGAAAGCCACTTCTGGCGCCCAGAAGCCGTCATTGGCGCCCGGGGTCAGCGCCCAGGGGATGTTCTTGGCAGAGTCAGGCCGCGCGGGCATGGCCCACCCCAGAAATTCCCTGCACAAACAGCGGGCGTGAGCTCTTTGAAACAATTGCTGCACGGTTCCTGCTGTCGTCGAACTTTGACTTTATGGTCATGGAAAAAGATTCTTCCAGCTTCAAGTAACAGCCTTCTCCTCTGCGGTTCCTTGCAGTCGGCTTGTAGAGAAAATGCGGGGCTTGTTTCCAGGTGGAAGGAAGCAGCAGCGTCACGGGACGGGCTGGCTTCATTTGTAGCTATCGGAGCACGATGTGTGCCCGAGAAGCATGCATAAACAGCCTTGTTTTGTGTGTGGAACGCCGAAGAACACTTCCTGTGTGCACAGGGTGACCTCATCAGGGAACAGCAGCGTGCCAACGGGGAGCGCGGAAGGAAGAAATGAAACAATTGGCACTTTTCTTACTTCAGCGCCCACATTCCAGCGCTGGTGTCAGTAGAGGGCCTTACCAGGTGCCGCTGGCCAGCCGGGAGGTCTTCCAGTACGGGATCTGGGAGTCTCCGGGACCCTTCCCTGGCACCAAAGGGCACAAACAGAGTGTTAGGATAATCAAAAGGCTCGAGCAGCATGAGTGGTGATGATCGTCGTTTCCTTCATTCTTTTCAACAATGTCCTGGAAAGTATCTGCAGTAAGTCCCAGAGGAAGCTCGCACCAGTTTCATTTATGAAAAGAGTGGCCCACCCACAGCACTGAACCTTGTCCTGGTGGTATCCGGCACTCAGAGGACACAAAGACAATGTTCGGTTCCCTTCACTTTAACAAGGGAAGCTTTCGTCTATGGATTTCTCGTAGGCAGTGTAATCCAAAACTTTATTCAATTTGGGCAGCCTCAAAGACACTGATGATGTGCTGGGGAGGTTACATGCAAGGACGGAGTCTAGAGTTAAAATCGAAGTGGATCCAATTGTCAGAAGCACTATCCCCCTGAATCCTCTCAATTTAACCACCAGTCATCAGTTGGAGACTTCCTCCATCTGGCTTAATAAACATTGACTTTGAACACAACTTCTGACTTTCTTGCACAAGCAATCCAGGCAAGCCCACAATCGGTCGCCGAAGATGAAGCTGGCAAGAAGTTGACATGTCCTTTCAGCAATAGAGAGACTCCGAGGCATTAAGTCCCATATCAATGCAAAAGAAGTGAATCCTCTACTACAGAACTTTATTGTCCAGACCCTGTCAAACATAGGCAACAAAGTATGGCGCATGTGTCAGAAACAACGATGGGACGACTGGGGTTTGCCTATTGTGACCAGTCTGATTCGCAATATGCAAAGCCCAAAACAGGATTAAGCCAACTCTCCCAAGCGACAATTCATGTTTGCTCAAGCTTCTCGCATACAATCACAAACGCCAGATGCAAGGCCAAGACCCCCATTTTCCCACAATCAGCATCAACATGCAACACCACTGTCAGACATTGTGTCAACAAGACCTGAAACACGAGCGCTGTCGTCCAAGCCTAGTAGTGACGACATTGATGGCTGACCATAACAACATAATCATAGTGTGGGCACACATTTGCAGCGATGCAAGCCCTCCACCCCCACCTGTGCCAAACATAAACAGCGTCCCATCCTGCGCCCTGATTACGTTGGGGTCGTGCACGTTCAGGGGCCCCTCCCCGTTGAGCCCTTGCTTGATGAGTTTCACCGAGGGGGGCGGGCGATCCAAGCTGGGGTTGAACGGCTCAGGGGGCATTACGGTCGGCATGGGGAGAGGGCCAGCATCGGGGTCGGGGTACGAGTGGGGCCGCGCATGCTGGGAGATGGCGTCGTTGACCTTGTTGTACCCCTTCTCGACGTGGCGAAATGCATCCTTGAACCCGGAGACAAGTTTCTTGTCCATGATGGCGCGGGGAACATACAATCAAAGCAATGAACGGGGTCCTGGCGGTGAAGGGACAGCCAATTGGGCAGAGACAACTCCTGCTAGGCGCAATTGCAGCTGTCCTCTGGCTTTCCCAAAGAATGTGTGCAGGAAGTGCTATAGCCAGCTCTGAGCTACCTACTGTACAGTGCATGATGTTGCATGCGTCAATTTTCAAGAAGTACTCGCTATAACTTATAAGCCTCTGGCCTCAGCAAATTTGCATAGATGGATAGATGGATAGAATGCAGTGTGAATATGTCGGTCTCGTAAAATTTGTGCGGGTCGAAGTCTGGGGCCCATGCTAGGCCCAAGCCGATCCCAGCGTATTCCCACTACCAAGCTTGGGCCTTGTCGTAGAAGCTGACACCCAAAGCTGACGGGAGGCTAAATAGCAATACTAAAATTGGAGTTGAAGGCAGGAAGTTTTGCAGAGTCT